AACAAGAAAGAAACCTCATTACCTCCCCCCACCAAAAAATTTTTTTAATAAAAATAAAAATCAGGATGCTTCACAAAAAGAAATCCAGATTTCCAGGTGTTCTTAAAAAGTCAGAAGAACTGGCGATTCCTGCAGCAGTTGCGTGAAGTGGCTGAGGGTACTTCACTCAAGGTTTCCTTAGTGACCCCAAAGACAGATTAGGGCAAGGCTGGGGCAAGGCAAGTGGGGTGCCCCAAAACAAATAAAAGCACTCACTATCAAGATAAACACTATGATAATGCCATAGGTTAAAATTTCAAAATAAATACAGAAATAATCCATGATGAACAAAATATCAGAATTGTAAAGAAAAACAAGATCTGGTTCTGCACTTATGCAAACAAATTCCCTTGCTTTTCCCTACTCCTGGCCCTGTCAGATCCTGTCTTTATTTCAAATATTTTGTTTTGTTCATCATGGCTTCCTTTGCATTAAATATTGCATTAAAATAATGTAACTGAACATCTAAGGTTTTGGCACCAGTGGCAGGAGAGTACCTTGCTCTCCTCACCCTAGTTCCAGCCTTGCTTTATAAATTTGCAAATCCCGTCCTGAGCCATTTAGCAGATGGAAAAACTGAGGCCCTGCAGTTTTCCCCTCAAGTAATATGCGGCTCATAGTGCCTGCATGACGCCTTCCACTGGCTCTAGTAAGTACAGGGTCTGGCAGGGCCTGTGAGATTTCTTGCGGGGGCTCCATGGGAGGGGCCCTGAAATGTTCCCACGATGCCCAAGAGTCCAACTCTTCTCACAGCCCCATCCCTCACTTCCCATCCTTTGCAGGTGGCCAGCTGACCTCCCCACCCCAAAGAAGGCACACTGGTGCGGGAGGCAGGATCCACGTCTTTATTGCAGGAAGACTATTTCTAGAGCGAATGCTACACAGACCGCACAATGGGGAGTTGGGGCACCCACATGCGAGGGGGAGGGGCAGGGCAGGGGCACACAAGCATGGCCTGGTACAGCCACCAGACCCAGGGATGCCGAGGCAGGACGGGCCAACAGCTGGGGCGGGCCCTGGTCCTCTCCTGCTGCGGAACCCCTCTCTCCCCCAGGGTCGGGGCAGGGCCTAGGGCAGCAGAGGCCTGGAGGTGGGCAGGGCCCCAGGGAGATTGTGCTATCAGGGTGTGTCCCTGAGAATGGTCCCTGCCCAGCCCCACTTTCTCCGGCACCTTCAGTGGGGAGGGGCCAACTCCAGTTGCTGGTGGGTCCTGGACCCATCAGGATAAAGGTACTCAGCTGTGCTTAGATAAGATGCTACCAGTTCTTCTGAGGGCCTGTCCACACGCCAGGTGGGGACACATGCATGCACGTGCACATATACACACAGTGTGTCCAGTAAATATTTGAGGAATGAAAAGCCCCACAAACACAGAGGGGAGAAAATACACTGCTACCAAGATGGACACAAACAGTCTCTCTTTCCTACATAAAGCACGTGGTCACCTGGCTACAGCCCCGTGGCCTCTCTACCACACACGCATCTAGCTTCCTCATACCTAGGGACACCAGTGCTGCCCATAGCCCCAGGGAGAGGCCCAGAAGGCAGGCAGCTGAGCCCCCGTCCTAAGACCACAGGCAACTGAATGCTGCCCACAAGCACGTGAGCTGCGATGCAGATCCTTCCCCAGGCAGGCCTTCGGATGAGACCACAGCTCGGCGGTACTGATCACTGCCTTGTGCTGAGAGCATACATGTGTGCTGTTTCGAGCTGCTGAGTTTGTGGTTGCGTGTCGCCTAGCAACGGCTGGTGCATACAGGCTGTGAGCTGAGAGCCACCTCGCTCCAGAGTGAAGCCAGCGCGGTGTGCCTCAGACAGGCAGGACCAACAAGCCTACAGAGGATCCCCGCTAAATCACATCACCCTCCCCCCAAAATGCAGCTGCTCACGGTCGTATTCTCACGGGTGCAAAGGCTCACACATCACAAGTGTCCAGTCTTGTTGGCAACCACGTGACCTGCCCATATGTTCACCCTACACTACACATTGACTGTCACACAAACACACACACACACAGGAGCCCCCACACAAGCTTAGACACAAGCCATCCGCCCAGCACACCGAGGTGCCCAGTACGTCATCCCAGACCCCCTCCACCACTGTCACATTGCCACCCAGGCCTATAGGGCACCTTCATACTTGTCCCAGGTCCCACCGGTGTGGCATCATCTAGACACTCTCACAGAAGCACTTAGAATCTCACTGTGGTGGACACATCCTGACTCCAGGACACCCGCATTCCTGGGCGGTCCCCCCTGGGGCCCAAGAGGAGGGAGGAAGCAGGCCGGGCAACGGTCTGCCTCCAGCGACCCCCAGCACCTCGGATCCCTGCCCCGGCTCAGTGATGACAAGCTGTACCCGTCTCTGTCTGCACGCTGTGGTTGGGAAGCTCCTCCATATTTGCTCCGGACAGTCCCCTGGAGTTGTGCTGTGGCCATCGGCCAGTCCCGGGCCTCCCCTGCCTGCCCCCAGGCCCAGGCCGGGTGAGGAGTGGGACTCCGGGCCGGTGGAGCACTGCTGTGGGCCCTGCGATTATTGCCTGGCAGCCGGAGACCCAGCCCACAAGGATCCCACCAAGCTGTGGAGACTGAGGGTGAAGGGGGTGGTCTGGAACCTGGGAGGGGGAGGCACAGGCCGGAGGCCACAAGGGATGGAAGGGGGTGGATGTTAAACACCAAATAGGAGAAAACAAAGTCTGAAGTCCATGTGCATTTCCACTCCCTTCTCCCCATCAAGGTCACAGTGATCTAATGAGGGGCAGGGTGCAGGTCCGGCTCAGGGTGCTCAAGGGAAGGGGTCAGAGGGGAGGGTCCTCGGAGACACCATGATCAGCATCTTCAGTTCTGACGGGGACAGGGAGCTTCCCCGTTTTCCCATGTGCAGATCAAGGGGGCCACCTCCAGCACTTGGCTTTGGGGGTACAGACAGGATGGGGAGCAAAGATGGTGGGGAGGAAGGCGGAGCCGTGGGACAGAGCCGGGTTGGAGTCCCAGGTCTGCCATGGGCTCACTGGGGCCTCAGGTTCCCCGCCAGAGATGCTGGAGGAAGGAAGAGAAGTGGGAGAGATGAGAGGGAGCGGGGAGGAGGAGGACCACCGGGAGGCCTGGGCCAGGGCAGCGGGGCGCCTACGCGGGGCGCTGGGCTCACATGAGGATGCATTTGCCCTTGATGCGGTCTGTCCTCTTCTGTTTGCTGGAGCGCTTGCCGTCGATGTTGAGGCTCATGTTCCGGCGTGTCTCCAGCGTGAGCAGCTCCTGGAAGAGCTCCTTGACGTTGTAGTTCATCTTGGCCGACGTCTCCATGAAGGCGCACTTCCACTCTTGGGCCACGGCCTGTGCCTCGCGGGTGTCCACCTCCCGCTGCGTCTCGTCACACTTGTTGCCCACCAGCATGACCGGGATGTCCTCCACGCTGCCCTTGATCTGCACAATGAGCTTGTAGATGGGGCCCAGCTCCTCCAGCGACTGCTTGCTGGTGACGGAGAAGACCAAGATGAAGGCGTGGCCCTTGGAGATGGACAGCCGCTGCATGGCTGGGAACTGGTGGCTGCCTGTGGTGTCGGTGATCTGCAGCGTGCACACGCTCTTGTCACAGCTGATGACCTGCCGGTAGGTGTCCTCAATGGTGGGGATGTAGGTGTCCCGGAACGTGCCCTTGACAAAGCGCAGCACCAGCGAGCTCTTGCCCACGCCGCCTGCCCCGAACACCACCACTCGGTAGTCGTTGCTCTGCTCAGGCATCTTCTGTGCGGGGGAGGGGGTCGGGGCCGGGAGGGCTCGCGTGGGCTGCTAGAACCCCGGACCGACCCTGCACAGAGATGAGTGTCAGACGCAAAGGCCACCTGTAGGGAGGGAGGGGATGGGAGGGGCGGCTTCTCGGAGGAGGCGGCATTTCTCTTGTGGCCCCAGGGAAGACTTCCTGGTGGATTTGCCAGACTTTGTAGTTCTGTCCTGCATGCAGGCTCGGAGCCAGCCCCCTCTGCCTGCTTCCCTTGAAACGAAGTCTGGGAGGAGATGGGGGATTCTGGGCTGGAAGAGGTGTGGAGATGCCAGCATGGCGTGCCCTCCAACTCCTTTCTCCACCTACACGCTCCCCTACGCCCTCCCATAGGCAGCACCAGCTTTTTTTTTTCCTTCCTTCCCAGTAGGCCCGGCTCTGTGACCTGGGCACATTCATTTGCCACCCTGACCCTCAGTTTTCTCCTCTGCAGAATAAGTAAAATGGGGCCTCTCTCCAACAATCACAGGCTCCCTGCTCAACCCCCCAGCCCAGAGGCTCCTAAACCTCAGGGGAGCTGTGTGGTGGGGTGTCTTTAAGATGCAGATTGCAGGGCCTCACCCCTGGAATTGGTGAACCCTTTGGTCCAGGGCCACAGCCCTATGAACCAGCATTTTAAAGCTGCTCCCCTCCCCTCTCTGCTCTCATCCTGGAAGTGTGATCCTGGGGCCGGAGGTCAGAGAATTTGCAAATCTCAAAGCAGGTTTCCCATAGCAGCCCAGGCTGTAGATGAGGAAACTAAAAGTTAGCCTCAAGAGAAAAGGCCCCACTCCCTGAACGCCAAACCCAGGCTGTGGTCTGGCCTGCCCTGGCCTCCTGTTCGGGTCTGATGTGTCTGTAGGAACAGAATTCCCTGGGAGAGGGATTCAACAGAATTCCTCTCTTTCCTCCCCTGTGCTCAGAGAAGTCCAGTAACCTCAGGAGGTCACACAGCAGAGCAGATCCTGAAATGATGGAGGTGGGGGAAAACCGGGGGCTGGGGGTGGGAAGGCAGGAGGTCTGTCTCCAGCATCTGTGTCCTTATTTACAGAAACATGAGAGACCCCTTCTATGCCTCCTCCTCAGCCAACTCTGAGGGTCCTTCAGCATGGGCGGAGGGGGGGATGTCTATGGCGGGAGGGAGAAGAGAGGGCAAGATTGCGTCCTGGCCATGCCACTTCCCTCAGGTGTGTGTGCGGGAGTGTGAGCAAGATGCGACGGTGTGAACCTGGCAGTGAAAACCCAGGCAAGTCAACGGTGTCCCCGAGCCTAGGTGTCCTCAGTGAAGACAGACGGACATGATAAGGGCCCAGTGTATAAGGCACTCGGCTGGTGGTGGGATGGGAAGTCACATTCTGACCGATCAAAAGTATCAGGTTTGTTAGAAAAAGACGTACGATGAAGGTAATGGCCGACACGTACCCAGCAAGTAACGTGCCCAGCAAACTTGCGGGAGGGAGCTTTAGCGGTTCTAACTCACGGCGGACCAGTAGGCACATCGGTGACATGCACAGCCTGGGAGGAGGTTGGGGGGGTGGCAGGGCTGCCAGTCTGCTCTGCAGTCACTGCCCTTTCCTGGGCAGGCACCCCGAGAAGCGGGTACACCAGTGTGCAGCCAGGCACTGCTGTGACCGGCTGGGGAACCTGGGCTGGCTGGTCACCATCCAATATGCCGCCCCAGACCCAGTGCTCATCTTGCTCTGGGCACAGACCCCCAGGCACGGCTCCAGGACTTCAGCAGGGTGTCTTCCAGGAGGGGATCCCCGACTAGTAGCCCTCATTCAATAACCCCCAAGCCCATACTGGGAACCCACTGGGTGCCGTTTGAATCCCACCCTCTCCTCCCATGGGCTGGGGGAGGGGGAGGGGTCGTGAGCACTGAGGCTCAAAAGGGGGTGGCATGGGCTCAAGGTCACAGCAGGGAGGTGGCAGAGCAGAGCAGGATTTGAACCCAGCCCTGGTTGGTTACAAAACTGGGAGTCCTTCCGCTGTGCAAAGCCGACCATCCTGAGACTGCCGGGCCAGGCAAACCTCCCCATCCTGGGTCCCCGGAGCCCAGTGCTGCCAGGAGGTTGGAGCGATCTCAGGTGCAAGAAAGCAGGCCCTGACCCAGGGGAGGGCCTGGGGGCACAGGAGGCCTGCCCCAGACTCTGACCTAGGGACCCCCTGACCAGTGAGGGATTGATGAGCCAGGGCCTGCTCTAGGAGGCCTGTGGGAGGGAAGGGACACCCCGGGGGGCCAGCCCATGGGCTCCCCTCGGCCCAAGCAGGATCCAATTGGTGGGGGGAGGGGGAGCCCACCAGGGGAGGGGCTCCTGGGTGAGCGGCTTGGCTTGGCTGAGGGAGCGGGAGGACGAAGGGGGATGTGTGGTGGGGGCAGGACGGGCCCAAGGGCCCACCTGACTCCTCGTGAAGGGGCCCTGAGAGCGGACGGAGAGTGAGGCTGCGGTGGGCCGGAGGAGGGGCTGGCTCGGCCGAAGAGCTCC